ACTGACCAGAGGGCAGGACACCAGGGTTAAACACTTCTCTGACGGACGGTGTCCTGGGATCTGTACTGACCAGAGGGCAGGACACCAGGGTTAAACAGTTCTCTGACGGACGGTGTCCTGGGATCTGTACTGACCAGAGGGCAGGACACCAGGGTTAAACAGTTCTCTGATGGACAGTGTCCTTGGATCTGTACTGACCAGTAGGCAGGTCACCAGGGTTAAACACTTCTCTGATGGACAGTGGCCTGGGATCTGTACTGACCAGTAGGCAGGACACCAGGGTTAAACACGTCTCTAACGGACAGTGGGATTTTTAAGTAGTACAGTTGGGTACTGGAAGGCACTGTACTGTGAATGTCAGAGACGAGCTTCTTGAGAAAGCTCTGCTAGAGATGCCAGGTCTGAAAAGATACACATCAGCATCACAAAATACAGATCACAGACACCGTTTTTTTTAGTGCTCTATAAGACTTACACCAGGGTGCTACAAAATGACTCCACACATTTCCTGCTCTGTTCCTTCCTGCCAGGCCAGTTGTGCTTCAGCGAGTCAAGAAGAGCCTTCTGTCTCTGCGCCGAGGAAACTCAAGCGGATTCCTCCAGTTTACATGAAGGTCTGAAACCTTTTTTTTAAAGGTCTAATTAATGTACCTGGACACACACACGGACACACACACCAAGGTTGATTATCTCAAAAGACAATTAACCTACCACCATGTTTGTGGACTGTGAGAGGAAACCCACGCGAACCGAACACAGCAAGATCACGCAGACTCCACACAGACAGCACCCCAGGTCCGGAATTTAACCCAGGACCCCCACGCTGCGAGGCAGAAATGCTGACCTTTGCATCGCTGTGCTGCCCCTAATTAGAGACCCTATGAAACCAAGTAACAGTACTCTGTAGCTGTACAAGCAGTGACTCACGGCTGGTCATTTTAAAGAGATTGTAGTGAAATGAAGTGACCAGATTTATCGATGCTCGCGTGTTCCGGGTCGTTACAGACTGATGACTGAGCCAGGGTGAGTGAAATCGCTGCTGGATGGCGTTTCTCTGGGGGCAGGCTTGGCCACTCTGGGCGTGGCGGGTAATTCAGGAGACGCGTGTTCTGTGTCTGGAACCGAGTGCGTGTTTATGTCCGTGAAGGTGCCCTTTCGGGAGGAGGCGGCTCAGGTGTGCTGGATCTTACTGGCTCCGGATCCGACCGAGTTCCTGGAACGGCAGGGAGTCGAGGATCCGGCCGGCGTGTGCGAGCGAGCGCTGGCCGCGGGCTGCGGTAGGTGCCGCGCCCGAAAAGGGTGAATTTCGGTCCAGCTTTTCAGACACGGCCCCCGCTTTGCAGCACTTCACTGCCGACGAGGCCTAAACCATGAAAACTGAATTCAGTAGAATGACGAACCCTTTCAGCAGTCAGTGTTAAAACAGACGCCCTTTCCTCCTGCCATGTTGCAAAGACCTGGGGCTGAACTGATGCCAGTTTTCACTGAACAGGGCTTCTTCCTGGTTACATCCTGAATGCTGCTCAGTACAGCGTGCTCTCTCTCACTCTCTCACTCAAATATCGGGACTCCTAATAACAGTTATGTGGTAACGGGGTGGCCTGGCGTAGAGCCCTTTCTAGAGCCCTGGGCCACCCTTGTACCTTTTAAAGAAGGCGTCTTCCCCTATTTCCTGCTGTCCCGGGTCCCTGAGCTGGGTTTGCGTCCAGTTCCAGGGGGTGTTACAGGAGCCAATAGAGGCCCCTTGCCAAGCCAGTGGGGCTTCATACTACCACCAGCAGTCATTCAACTCCACAGGTCCAAGAAGCTCCCAGCTGCCCTCGTACAGACTTGCAACACCCGTCACGCCTGCTTCTCGCTGTGTTTCCGACAGGTGTGTACCTAGAGTACCAGGGCCCGCCCAGCCCCCCACTCGCCACGTGCTTTTTCCCCCACAAACCAGAGAAGCGCCGAGCTGGAAGGAACGACCTGTGAAGATCCGTCCTGTGAAGTGGAAAGTGGAAACGTGATGTGTAGCTTACTTCCCCTGCCCCCACCAACTCTTTTGTGTGTAAAAAAAACGCTTTCAAGACAATGTGGGGAAAAAAGTCGTCAATAAAATTTTTCGTGACATAAAGCTTTTTGTTTACTGTATCGCAGCATACAGGATCAGCATTTATGCAATAAAAATGAGCTTAAAGTAAGATTTCAACATTTAATTTCCACTACGTAACTCAAAGGCTTAATATTTTTTTAAGCGTTGCGCCTGATAAGTTTGTTTTCATTGTTTAGCAACAGTGTCAGGGTCTCGGTGCACCTCCTTAGGCTGTGGACAGAAGAATCTTGCATGTAGTTTTGACATGAGGTTTTTCCCAGGTCGTTCCTAGTCCCCACGCCAAAATACCATCTCGGAAAGTCCCTTTCCTGAAAAACGCTAGGAGGTTGGCCACACCACAGCTGGGTGGCTTGTTCCACACTCCCACCGCCCTTTGTGTAAAGAAGTGCCTCCAGTTCTGACAGCAGGATTACCCAAGGGGCCGAATGGCGCCTCTTATTGGTAATTATTCTTCGGTTCTGCTGGGCCGCCAGGGTCTGGAGAGGAAGGGTTCACAGCCTGCCGGCTATGTGGCTGATGGGTGTGACCAAGTTTGTGTTAAACCGAGCACAAGCTACCAGCCCCAGTGCTACCCCTGACTCGGTCTTCACCCATAATGCATTGCTCTTGGGTCTGGTGGGTTCAGTTCGGGACCTGGAGGGGGGGTGCTGTCTGTGCGGAGCTTGTCTGTTATCCTAATGTTCGTGTCGGTTTCCCTTGGCTGGTAGGTTAATTGGCTGCCAGAGAATTTGGCCCCAGTGTTTGTTTGCCCTGTGATGGGCTGGCGTCCTGTACTGCGCCTGTCGCTGGCTGGCTTCTCTCCAGGTTAATATCCTTCCCTTGCCTCCATGCGGAGCAATTGAGCCACTCGGTGTTGAGTGACTGTCAGGTGTGCCCGAGACATCCAGGCTACTGAGGGAAGGATGTTGCTTACGAACGTCTTGCAGGTGCATCTGGTACCTGCAGACAGGCCAGCCCTCATCAGTTGTCTCTACCTGAGGGGTAGGGAAGGAGATCGCAGCTTTTCGCTGAGCTGTCAGACACAATTCAGCTAATTCTGAGAAACATGCGGGCGTCGTCTTTATTCAGGTGAAATAGGTGATGGAATGATATAAAAGCGGAAAGAGTTACGTAGTAGCTCGCTACGCTACAGATGTGACCTTCTACCGTATTCCGGGATGTCGACTGGAAGACCGTTCTTGTCGCACCAGCGTATTGTCGACCTCCTACCGCATTCTGTCGGCCACTGTCGCGAAACTACTTTTTGACCCATGTGAGTTGAGTTATTGAAGGGGGTTGTTTTTTTTTTTTTGGTTCTACTTGTCTGGTTACTGTTGCGGGCTTCAGTCGGTGTCCGGAGAGGCAGCAGAAGGGTGGAAGATGGCGTCGGCCGACGGTGCAAGCAGCAGCAGCAGCAGCAGCAAAGAGGACGAATTCATGAGGTATCGGTCGCCGCTGGTGTCGCGGTACGCCAGCAAGGAGATGGCTTACAACTTCAGCGACAGGAAGAAATTCACCACCTGGAGAAAACTGTGGATCTTTCTCGCCAAAGCGGAGAAGGTTTGTCTGCCCGTGTCCGTGCCGCTCTCTCTCTCTCTCTCGCAGCCAGCAGTACCCGTGCAGCAGTGGTACTGTAGCTCTCCTGTGCGGAAACAGCCCTGGCTGTCCGTGTGCCGTCCTGCATCCGACACTCGACCCTGTCTCACCCTCGCAGCCCGGAGTCTGTCATCTATAAACAGCTGCAGGACCGGAGCTCCGAGCCCCAGCCTTACGCCCCTGTACAGCTGTAAAGAGGGAGAGTGCCGGTCGCAGTTGTATCTTTGATCTATAAATACAAGTCGGTGACAGCTAACGGGAAAACGGATCGGTTCGCTTTGGCACGGTTCGGGGGACGGCGAGGCCGGTTCGGGTTTTACGAGGTGCAGCAGCAGCAGCAGGACTTCGGGTATATTCCCGTTTTAACTGTGCGTGCATATTTACTCAAAATAAGCAGACCTGCCGGAAATATCCAGTCCCAGGTATCTGAAAGAGCCTGCAGCTGGCAAGACGCGGGATGGATCTGCTGGGCAGAAACCCTGTTGCGTTGCCCTAACCCCGCTCCTGACGACCACACATCCGGTCCGTCTTTTAGTACACAACAGGTCCACTGTTGGTGCAGCTCGGGATCACCTGGAAGCGATCGATACATTTTTCAAGGACACGGTCTTTTAAAGAGAACTCGCGACCCCCGGGGTGGGGGTTGAACTATGCCTCAGATTTTGGCTCTCACGTGATCTCTCAATGAAAGAGGGCGGTAGATGGGGGGAGGGGGGCTCCCCAGGACTGGGGCTTGGAGACCCCTGTTCCAATCAGTCCAGCCTGCACAGCGAGGCTCATGAGGAGAGGAGTGTCGTGCCGTGGGCTGAGCAGTGTTCACAATAACGTCAGCCCAGGGTGCTCGGTATCTCAGTATCTCCTCCGTTCAGGGTCTCTTCTCAGTCTTGATCTCCGGACCGGATTGGTTATTCGCCCACGACTCCAGAGCTGGGAACAACACCTCATTGCAGAGCACTTCCGATCCATCCCGGGTTTTACCAGCTACCCGGTCAACACCTGTTTCTGCCTATAGGCCCTGATGCCCTGTGTTTGCCCTGCAGGACACAGACATGCGGTAATATCATGTCACTGTGTAATGAACAGTGTGCATCGGTGCAGGTTGTTCTGAGGGCGGACAGCTGAGGGGGCCTGCGGTCGTCAGGAGGTCTTGATTCGACTCCTAGAGCCCAGAGTGGTCGGTCACAGTCAATCAGTTCAGTGTTAATGTCCCCCACGCGGCCTGTCACATGAGCGCCCTCAGCTGATTTCAGGAGAGGGGGCGGGGGAGGAAGAGGAGGAGGGTAGAGCAGAGCTCGTTGTCCTTCGTGTTGCGCTGGGTGGGTCACAGGTCCCCCCATCACAGCTTGTCGACTCGCAGGCCCAAGGAGTATGGCACAACGCCGGGCACGCAATGGAGCACAGCTAACACCAGGCACGTCCTGTAACGGAGCATGCAGCCTGGCGGGGAGGAGCGGCCTGTCCGAAATAGCCTCTGTTCAGCGTCACGGTAACGGGAGAGCCTCGGGGTCTTCGTATCGGCTTTCCAGGGCCGACAGCAGCTGAAGGGAGTTTCCCTGTTGCGCTGTTTTTAAGAGGGAAGGGAGCCCTTTCTTGTGGGAAGACAGGCTATCGTCTTGCATTAATCCCGCTGTGCCCCTCTCTCTCCCTGGACCCCAGTCCTGTCCTGACCTGTGTTAATCCTGCTGTGTCCCTCTCTCTCCCTGGACCCCAGTCCTGTCCTGACCTGTGTTAATCCCGCTGTGTCCCTCTCGCCCAGTGCTGTCCTGACCTGTGTTAATCCCGCTGTGTCCCTCTCTCTCCCTGGACCCCTGTCCTGTCTTGACCTGTGTTCATCCCGCTGTGTCCCTCTCTCTCCCTGTAGCCCAGTCCTGTCCTGACCTGTGTTCATCCTGCTGTGTCCCTCTCTCTCCCTGGACCCCAGTCCTGTCCTGACCTGTGTTCATCCCGCTGTGTCCCTCTCTCTCCCTGGACCCCTGTCCTGTCTTGACCTGTGTTCATCCCGCTGTGTCCCTCTCGCCCAGTGCTGTCCTGACCTGTGTTCATCCTGCTGTGTCCCTCTCTCTCCCTGGACCCCAGTCCTGTCCTGACCTGTGTTAATCCCTGGGTCCCCCTGTCTCCCCCAGGAGCTGGGGCTGGCCGTCACGGAGGAGCAGATTGCCGAGATGGAGAGCCAGGCGGAGGAGATCGACTTCCCGCGCGCGGCGGAGGAGGAGCGCCGCCT